GGGAAACTAAGTAACATAATTAACTTTTTCCATCTTTAACTTCTGCAACTAAGCAGCAGCTTCCTGAATATAGTATTTGCTCTTTGTTGCTCTCCAGCTTTCTTTCATCAGTGCGAAGATGTGCAATGGCATTAATAATGAGGGTCCTTCCACGTGCAATGAATTCCCTAGTCTTAGTCCAGTACCCCCATGCAGGAAAACTTTCCCACTTACTTCAGTTGACCACGTGGCAGGTCAGAACATGGCACTGTCCAGAATTTATAAAAATATTTGGAGCACTATTTTCTAATGAAGGGCATCATTAACTTGCAATTTAGTGGCTCAAGATTTCACGAGCAGACCTTGCTGCCTGGAGTTTTCTCCACAACAAGCAAGTAAATTCTTCTTAAACTTCTAGCAAGGTAAGTGTCAAGCCAGCGTGTCTCTGTTCAAAGCTAAGCCTGCCTTTGCCTGGTGATCAGAGTAAAATCTGTAATCTGAGAAATGCCTTTGGATTTCAAGTGCACAAGCACCAGATAAAACTGTCCTGGGTCAGGTGCAGTGAAAGCAGAGCAGGACCAGGGCTCTGGGGCCAGAGCGCTCCCGTGTTCCAAGAAACAGCACAAGCCTGAAGATGATTTAGAAGAGGACCACACTGAAGCGGCATGAGATGGCTCAGGGCTGTCTTTACCAAGAAATAAAATTGCCAGAAAAAAAGCGCTGAAGACATGGCACGACCTGTGCCATCTCACCTCCGTGAAGTTATATGGCTCTCGGGGTGAGCCAGCACTCAGAGGCTGCTTGGTCCGAGAGATGGTGGAGAAACGCTTTCCTAGGGGAGACACAGCACACTGACAGACAGCTCAAAGGCAAATCCCCACTTTCCAGCCTTCGGCATGTTACAGAAGCAGTCGTCACAAAACCTCCATCCACGCTGTTTTTTTCCTACCCAACACTGTGGTTGACTGAAGAGATGTTGACTTTAGAAAGGTTAAAGGTGGCTGCCTCAACCAACAAATGGGATTTAGGAAGAGAGGAGGATTGTTGTTTTTCCTTCTTTCAGGAATGAGGTGTCAGGAAGATGCAGAGGTCAAACAGGCCCCCGCTGAGCAGCTGAGTGGCAGCCCCAGCTGCAGAGGGTGCTGGAGCAATGCAAGACCTGACGGTTCCCACGTTTGGGAAGGGTATGCCATCACCTTTTCCCACATCTGAAGTTAGAGGAATAACAGTGAGAGCTCCACTGGGAAAACAGAGTCCAAGCAGTTCAACTCAGAGTGCAAAGTGATGTGCAGGAATTGAGTCAGGCCCTCTGGATAGATCTCTGCTTGGACCTCATGGGGATTCCTGGATGGGAGCCTAAAGCCACTCCTGGCTGAAGAGAATACTAGACTAATGGCCAAACCTCCCTTCTCTTCTATCCCCCAAACACATGCACATGGACATAAATCTTTGCATAATTAGCACGATCATTCTGTAGACTGACAGGTGGACTGAAACCCAACATACCTAGGCCGGGACTCCTACAAACCTCTTATAACCCATCTGCGAGTGAGTGGGTGTTCTGTATATGACACCACACGCCGGGAATGTAAATTAAACATTTGGCTTTGGCAGAAGGTTCCAGACTCTGGCTTAGATTCTGCCAGTGCCCGGGACATCTGCAGCATCTGTAAATTCATCATAACCTGGCCTCTCAGAAAAAGAGCAGCCTGGGGTTCTTCCTCCTGCCAGTGAGTAGGAAAATGATTCTAATGTTTATTCTCCAAAACAACACAGCAACAGGTTTAAATACTTGGGAGAGTGCTTGGAGAATGAATTAGGTACCAGATATTTAGTATTTTGCAAGAAAGTCAAGATTCACATGATAGAAGGATCTGGACCAATCCCACTTGATTTCCTGGAAAAGGCCAGACTCTAAGAACCAACACACATATCAGGATAAGCCCCTTTCCCCCCACCAATTCCTTGAAATGTTGAACGAGCAACCTGGTCTAGTGGAAGGTGTCCCTGCCCACTACAGGGAGTGGGACTGCGTGGGCTTTAAGGTCCCTCCAAACAAACCATCCCGTGATTCCATGTTACAATTCTGAAAAGTATCACTTAAGTCCCTGTGGAAACTGGATGCTCTGTGTCCATCAGCTAAATCCGTCTGGGAGAGAACACAAACCCTAGCACAAATGGGAGAGGGGAAGGAGGGGCACACAACACACAGCAGGGCCGAGGGGAAGGAGTGCTGGAAACGGTTGCAAGCAGATTGTGGAAACATGGAACACATGCACGCTTAAACAGTCATTAAAAACATGGAGAACAACCCTGAGAGAAGTTGCAGTAGCCCTAGCACAGCAGGGTTTGGGGCATTCCCAGCTGCCACACTTCCATGAAGAAGGAATTGAGAACAGATTCCCTGTTAAAGTCTTTCCAACTGTGATGGCTCTGGCATCTAAGAATCTGCTTTCTGTTAGGAAGAACTATAAAACTTTCAACAAAAGATGAAAAACACATCTTCTGTTGGCATAAAAGCAGGAGATTTCCTTGCAAGGAGGGGCACGTTGAAAATTCCCTGGGAAGTAGAATACAGAAAGAGTAGCTGCCGCTGGCAGCGAACCCCAGCTCGCAGCAAAGAGGTGCGTTACCAAGCTGGCAAAGCAAACAGACAAACATCACTCAATGCCTTGCACGTGTGCACAAGCCAGGTTTAACCTCTTCTGTAAGCGTAGGACTGGGCCTTAAATCACAGAATCGGTGACGTACTTCCTTACTTTTACATCCCATTTCATTTCTTGAAGTGTGGCATCTGTTGAATTCCGCGTTAGGGCTTTTTCCAAATGCAGGACTTGGGGAATTCTGTTAACAGTGCAATAAAAATAACTCCATAGTGTTACAAGGAAACATTAAAGCCTTTTTTGTGTGCTGCTCCCTTCCCTTTTAAAAAAATACAGACATTGTTTCTTTAAAAGGCTCCATCTGCAAATCCCATTAGATGTGCATATAAGGTTTCGGATGATTAATAGTCGCCTGCTTTGCTTTGGTTGGAGGGACGGAGTGTGTGTGCGTTAACCCCTCCCTCCCTTCTCTCACATTTCACTTCACAAACTTGTCACTCCCCAGCACAGTGTTTAAAAAGTCTCCCCCCTATGTCCAGCGCTTCACAAGCTGCAGGCCCCGGGAAGCATTCAGGGCAGTCGCTGCTTGGGTCAGGGTTGGTTTTCCAGTCGGGACAGTGAAGATGTTTAGAGGAGTTCCCAAAGCAACAAACCTGCAAGAGCACAAAATCCACAGACCAACTGTTGTTTAGGGAGGAAATCCATTCTGCAAGGCTTGGCAGACTTCCCCTCTGCTCCTCTCCCTGTTCTGGAGCCTGAGCTACAACCAGCCACCAACACTGGAGTGCAGACAGGGCTGGAAGCCAATGGATCCCAGCAGCAGCAGCTGCATGCGCAGCCCACAGCCTCCCGCCCCACTGTGGGGGTGCCTGCGGAGCACCCCTGCGGACGTCGCCGCAGCTTCAGGGCTGAGCCACTACCCACCAGCACCACTCTCCTTCCATCCAAAACCAGATTTTGGTTCTTACGCTGATTTCTCAACCTCCTGCCTGGTGACTGCTCCCCACAGCTTCCCGCCCGAGGAGCGGGCGTTTGCCGAGCAGCAGCCCTCTTTCCAACACTCCGACTGGCAGTTTGCAGCAACTGAGGCCAGAGGACAACGACATCCAGGACTGGCCTTGGCTGCTGGGGAGTCAGAAGGCAGCAGCCCAAACCCAGTGAGTGCGGCAGCAGGGATGAACGAAGAGGATGAGGTACCAACCAGTACTGCAAGTGCGACGGAGAAGAAGTCATCCAAAAGAAACAAGGAAAACTCAGGTAGGTGATACGTAATCAGGGCTGTGGGATAGCACAGGCTGTGCAATGAGAGCACCTGCAAGATTAGGAAGTGAGAAATAAAGCTGGCTAGGAAAACCCTTTGTAATTTTTGGCTGGGAAAGTTACACCACACTGAACTCCCCAGACTCTCTCGGTGAGCTCAGGTGTTTGCGTCTCCCGCCCGTGGCGGCAGAACCAGCCACTGTGCTCGCAGCCCAATGCGCCGTAACGCAACGGGAGCGCGCGCTGTGCGCACCCAGCTAAATGGCGGTCACGAACGGTTGAGGGTGGAAGGGACCCTGAAGCCCCGGACTGCGGAGTTACGCATCGCATTCCCGCCGTTCGTCCGTTGTATGCCAATGGCCAAAGAGCAAAGACCCCTCCCCTCGAGCCGACTGTGCTGGTTGGCAGCGTTATTCTAGGGTTCTGACACCTCAGTTTATGGTGAGAAGTACAAGATGCAAAGTTCCTCTTTAGACAGAAACTGTTTGGCCTCGCTGAATACTAAACGTTTCCACCTCGGAACGGGAAGTGCCAGGCTACCCAGCAGTGCCATGGCCAGCAGTGCCATGGCCAGCAGTGCAGAGAAGGGGGATAGCTGTGGCTGTGCCACCCTGGCCAGCACACCCCACTCTTCCTGCAGTGCCACACTCAGTCGTTTCGCAGCTCTCTAACCTCAGGTTTGCTGCTCTCTCAAACCCAGGTGTGGGAAAGAGGCATAAAATTGGTTCTCCTAAGGAAGCTCTGAAAAATTAAGGTGCTTCTATGCCTTCATTTACAAACTACAGTGTGCTTTTTCCCACAGCACTGCTATGAAGTGGAGAATATTTACCAGTTTCCCCATTTTACAGGTAGATAACACACCGGTGACTATATTTACTGATTTATTTTTAGGTTTTATGGGTTGGCTATGCAAGAGCCACCTCTCATCCACCTTCCATGTTTTGCAGTGTAAACCAGTAGCTTGTGTTCGTGCTCTCTGCCACACAATTAGTCCTCAGCTCTGTTCTCTTCCAACAGGAAAAGGCTGTCAGGGAACACACAAAATAACCAATATCCCAAACCTCTTTATGCCCAGAATCTAGTTTTCTCCCCTCGGTTATCTCCTTTTCCTTAGAAACCTAGCTTTGTAGAATTTAAATCAATATCTATTGAAAGAAAACATGCTTGGGGCAAAAATTTCCCAAGAACCCAAATGCCGAAAAGTTTGGTTTTTTAAAAAGAGACGCGAACAATGATTTTATTAAACCATTTGCTAGTCATGGGGAAACAGCAGGTTTAGGTATACACCTTATTCTTGAAGAGACTGGTCCCAAAGCACATCGCCCTGTTTGAAGCAGACAAATGTTCTGTCTATCCTCTCCTACCCGCCCCCTGACATTTGCTGCCCACACTTGGGTTTGTCCCTGACCCTTTCCCTGCGGGGAAGCTGTAAAGCAATGACATGCCGAAAGGTGTTTCCTACCTGCCAGCGACAGCCGCCGTCTGTGCCCGCTGCGACTAGTGGATGCAGAATAACACAAACCTTCCCAAGGGGATTCCACAGCACTTCATCTCACTCCCTTCCTGGCTTACCAGAGAGCTCTCCCTCCTTTGTGTCCCCAGGCAAAATAAAAGAGCGGAGGGGAAAGTCTATGAGCAGTTTTACTGTTTCCCTTCACTGTTAGAGCAGCTCCAGAAAGGCAGCTGGACGAGTCGCATACGGTTTGTTCGAAGTGGAACATCTTTTCTCTCCTCTTGAGAATCTTCCCTGACTCCTTTAGAAAAACCTAGGTACTCTAAGCCTTCTCTTCAGGGATTGGGCTAGTAAAGAAATAGATACTGAAATCAAGGGAAGACAACACCTACCAAAGAAATCATTTCCTTTTAGCTGGTGCCTTATCCACCACAACTCTGCCTGAACTGCAGTACAGCCACAGCACCACCACGACCTGCGCTGACGCACGTGAAAACCTTTGGTGCTTGTGTGGAGCCTCGTCATTACAAGATGCACAGTGACGATCTTGGAATGTGGCTCTTGGCAGTATTCTGAAAAAAGTCTAGAATAAGCACATTTCTCAGACAAGTCAGCAGAATGGTGTAAAAATAATTTAAAAGCTTGTCAATCTTTAAGACCACATTTGAAGCACAGCTCTGTGAAAACATTTCGCGAACAGCTTTGGTGGGGCAATGGCAGCAGTGGCATCTGCTGCAAGCCCCCAGGGATGCACATGCACACAGCCTTCCCTCCCTCGAGAGACGGCAGTGACTTGGATGGCGTGTTCAGGCTCGGCTCCACCGGCTCACCAAAGGAGCCGGGGGCAGGAGCTGACCCAGTGTGAGCTTCCCCAGCTGCTGCCCAGCCACAGCCACTAACACTCCCAGAGGAAATTTCAGTAGAGATTTGGTCTGACCTGTTCTAAACTGTACCTGTTTTCCTACGCACTGCAAGTCCCCAGCCCTCCACCAACAGTAACGTAATACGCGGTAGAATCCAGGCAGCTTTATCTTATGTGAATGAACCAATTCAGAGGGTTGGCGAGGTTGCAGTAGAAAGGAGGATGCGGTAGCAGTGCAGAACAACTCCCGTGCAGTGTCCTTGACTGGAGAATTCTGGAAAACTTTGCATTAAATGTACAGAGCTGACCTGAGCAACTGCCGGCAGCCTTTTTCAGTCTTACCACTGGCTGTAAAGAGGATTTTCTAAGCTTGCGTTCCCCTTTACGGTGGCATTAAAAGCTGCAGGTAAGAGTAGACAGCAGCAGGTACCAGCCCGTAACGTGGGAAGGCCTGAAAAGCAAAGCACAGGCAGGTCCCTGAGCAGTTGGAAGTGCTCTGGGTGCAGAATATCATGTGCCATAGCCCTCCACGTGGTTGGTTGGTGGGTTTGTTAACTAGCAGCACAGCTGGAAGAATCTTTCCAAGCCAATTTGTCCTTTCACACAACATTTGTCATTTTCCACATTCTGTTGTCAAAACTCTGAAGCAACTAGCCCCCATTTCCACGTTTGGAATATCCCCAAACCTGTATGTCTTGCTAAGAGCTCACTAAGTGGACTGAGCGTGTGCCCTGCGCCATCGCCGTGCACTCAGCACATCACACATCCTACACACAACGTGCGCGCTTCGCTCCCTGCTGCTTGGCAGATCGGGGGAGAGTCATCGTGTAAGTAGTGAGTAAAGGTGTGGGGAAGGAAACTATTGCGATGCAACGATGGCAAGGGAGCAGCTCCTTCCCATCGCTGCTGGGTTCTGAGCTGCAGACCCAGGGCTGTGCTCCTAAAGTTTCAACAACACGCCCCCCCTCCTGCCTCCCAGCCGCCCCCCGCTGTGCCCCAGAACCCGAGGCCAACAGCACCACAGGTCACGCCAAGCTTGAGGGCGCACCACAGAAACTTCTGAAGACTTCCCCTGAGCCCTTTAACAAGCAGCTTCCATCAGCCACGTCCGCACAGAGCGGCGCGACTGCAGCTCACGCCCCATGTGCTCTTGCCCCTTAGAAAACCAGACCGCGAGCAGCAAGGCAGAAAGCAGCGGCAGATCTCGGAAGGAAAGGACAGCTTTCACGAAGGAGCAGCTGCGGGAGCTGGAAGCCGAATTTGCCCACCATAACTACCTGACAAGGCTGAGGAGATACGAGATAGCCGTGAACCTGGATCTCACCGAGAGACAGGTACTTCCCGAATCCCTGCCTGCCAGCCTCTCCCTCCTCCCCACAACCTCTCCCTGCAGTTAAAACCAGATCTGTTATGCGAGGGTGTACTTTCGCGGTGGCACAGAGGTGTTTTAATATAAAGCCTCCACGTTCTTCTAAACCACAGTCGTTACAAATTTCTGTGGGTAGTTAATAAACATGATTATGTTTAACTACAGATGCAGTTGGGAATAACTGGTCCCTACTCAGCTGTGGTCCACCACCCCCCATCGGTACGTACTGATACAGGGAGGCTTATAGGTGGACTACGGATATCACCTTGACCAGGAAGTTACTAGAATGAGACATGTTTGATACGACCTGCCCCGGGAAGAACGAGTGTATTTTGAGGTGCAAAGAAAGACAGAAATGCACTTTCATGGACAGAGGTTATTTCTGTTCTCATTGTGACCTCAGTCAGGGTTTCCTTATCAAAGCTAGTGGACAATAGAGGAATCATTCAATTAAATGGAGCAAATTAAAATTCCTGAAGCATTAGACTGGCTGGACTAGATGTCAAAAGGCCTTGGATGCACTGTGCCCGTTGGACTGACGCTTAGCTGACACAAAGACAGGTCCCAGGCGAGAGACACGTTCGTGTTTCGCAGAGAAACATCTGCATGGAAGAGTTCAGAAAGAATTGCTCCTGCCTCTGTTAGAGAGATGGATTAAACGTGTGAGGTTCCTTTTACCTTTTCTTTAGAACTCCACAAAACATTTGGCTATTGAGAATACGCATTATGCATGGGTCTGCTGCAACCGTTCTGACTGAGGCAGTAATAACGATTTCCTTTTCATCACGCAGGTGAAGGTATGGTTTCAGAACAGAAGGATGAAGTGGAAACGTGTTAAAGGTGGGCAACCAGTGTCCCCACACGAACACGATGCAGAAGATGTGGACTCTGGTGCCTCCCCCAGCTCTGACTAGTCCTTGCAGCAGCGGGAGAGGAGTATGGATCAGAAAGCGGATGCAACACTGCTCCAGGCCAGCTACACCAGATGATCTCACCTGCAAAACCTGTAGCCCTGCGTCTTTAAAAGGTGTCCGATGCTTTAGGTTACAGAGGCAATTAAAGCAGGAGAAAAAAAGCCAAAGGAGGGCACGATTTTGACTTTTCTCTGAATTAGTTTAACTGTCTTACTACCACAGATGTGTTGTCAGAAGGAAAGCTAGCACACCCTGAACATGAACAGGAGCAGCATTGCCCATGCTGCGAAACATTCAGACAATACAGGTTGTCAGTCCGCAAGAAGGGGGTCAGCAAGTGAAAAATGCAACTGTCTTCTCACCCAACCTTGCCCTGGTCACGTCTGTTCATTCCGCATTTGGACTTGGCCAAGCACATTTTCCTCGTGCCTTGCTTTAAGAGAAGCAACACTTTGACAGTCACTGATGTTTCTTGCAATACGAACTGAGCACCTGTACGGCCCCGCAGGAAGGCTGCAACGGGGTCTGGCACGTGGGGTTCTGCCTACCACTGTCAGCAGGGACGGCTCTCTCCGGTGGTCCGAGGCGGCAGGTGCCCTGTTGGTGGTAGCAACTTGCAGAGGGGAATTTCCAAGTTTACTGTAAATCCCGAGGCTGAATTGCTGGGTCTCAATGTCAAATACTTTTTCACAGCAGTCACTGCCAACCGTTACAGCAGGTACAGCAGAGGTTAAGCCCTCAACACAAGAGCTATCACTACTCTGTTATCAGCATTTACATCCATTTCACTAAAGGAATAGTGCTGCGTTACTTTTGGATTAATGGAATCTCTCTGGAAACCCACTGTTTTCTTTGTGAATTCAGGACTGTGAAGAAAACATTTTCTGGAGAGATTGAACTGAGTTTACTGTCTCCAAATTCCTGTTTCATTTTTCATTGGAGATAAAACTTTCTTCCAAATAAACGTGTACATGTGTACATTTGAATTACACATAAAACCGTCTGTTAATCTGGGTATGGTATGGACTTTCACTCATTACTTACTGTCAGGGTATTCCCGTGACTTCTGGGGCCAGCTGGAGAGATACTTCGCCAGCAGTTACCCCTGAAGAGTTCACCCATCCCTCTGACAAGATAACGCATGTGCTTTTTCACCACGAGCTTAAACGAATGCCGTATGTCATGCAAATTACTACCTAACCACTTAAAATAATTAGGGGTGTGCATGTCCTCTCTCTGAGCTTGATCTACACACGTCTCTCCAGATCTTCACGGTAAGGAAATACTACCCTCTGTTTCTTCCCAGGATGTGTGTGCGCGGTATGGTATCGCGACAGGAGATCTTGCCGACGGGTTGTTGCGACTGGATTGCGGTTCCTCCAGCAGCAACAAGCTGTGATGTACTATGACAGAGCAGTACACCCTGGGTTACAAATGCGAGGTGAGTAATGGGTTAAACAACCTCACTATTCAGGTCACATCGAATGGGTTCGCGAAAGCACTTGCCCAGGCACAGGGGAGCGGCAGGAACTGCAGGAGCAGAAAACGCCTGCGGCTCTGATAAACCTTGGTGCCTTCTGACTGAGCTCACTCGTGGCTTGTGTGAAGCTTGGCTTCACACAAGCTGCTTGTGTGAAGAACTCTGGTGCTCGCTCAGACATCCTACTCTCATCTCCAGGAACACCGTGGGGCAGGAGTTTCGATACTCATTGCCTTGTAAACCCTACAGCCAATTACACCCCGTTGCACCCTCTGCGCTGTGCGGGGGAAGTTTGCAAGCTGCAGCAGCAGCTTATTTTGTGATGAAAACTTTTGGGCTCTTGGCTACCAACAGAAACCCAAATCAGCTCCTCACCCAGAGAGAAGGCTAATAAATCTCCCCTTTCAAGGAAGCTGTCAGCAGCAGTATATCGCATCCTAACTCACTTAAAAGCTGGTCAGTGGGGCCCCCGTCAGTTCCCATAACTACAGCTCCTAAACAGTTCCCGCTCTGACTTCTGAGAAACCAGGTACGAGTCACCTGCGAGATCATTTTATGCTCAGGCAGTTTCTGCGTGAAGCCATCTGCTTAGTCTAAGATTTCAGTGTTTGGTGAAGGAACATTTCACTCCTGACATCAAAGCGTTTGACCCCTGAACTTCTGGAGCCAAGATTCTTTCAGGCAAAGTCTGTTGTCTGGGAGCAAAATCTCTGACCCGCGGTTATGTTTTGCAGAAATACACATCAGGCTTTCTTCTCCTCATGGAAGGGAAGTAAGCTACCTGGGGATGTTTGGCAATGCTTCCCATGCCTGAATCTCCATAAATAATCTGAGCACACAATCACCCACATAGCATTGGAGAGGTCTGGCAGGTCTTCCACAGAAAGCACATGCCAGCAGAGAAGCCAGACGTTTTCCCCATATAAAGCCAGTGCCAACAGCCCCCAGGGAATGGGGGTATCTGTATGAGCACAAAAACGTGCTGTAGCTGTTTGTATCTGTGCTGCCTCTTCCACATACAGGAAGAGAAGCACTTTCCTCTGAGCCATAGATTTTATGGATGTTTTATCCAACTGGCCAGATGCACACGTAGCCCTAATTGGTTTTACATAATTTTTGTATCCCCCTACTCATCGGTGTCAGCCCTCAGTTTCTCTGCATCGTTCCACAGCGTTAAGCTAGTGATTTTTCCAGTCAATGCAGCTACTTGGACAACCTAAACATACCCAAAAGGTGACTAAGAAAGCCCTTAGCCACTTGACGAAGCCGCAGACAGGACCAAAACCTCGCTAGGAAATCTTTGGATGGTCTGTAACTTTAAAGAATCGCTGATTTTCAATGTTAACTGCACCATCACCAAAATGAGAGGAGAAGAATGCCAACCATGAAGGAAACCTGTGAAAAGTCATAGAAATTCTATATTCAGTAATCTGGAGAACCAATTTGTCAAAAAAGTAAAATGCAAAGAAGTGCAGCAAAGGCACAATCGATATCGGTGCGTATCTACACGTATCTACAGAGAGCACACACGCACGAGACGTTTGGTTTGTGACCACTTCTGAAATTAAGATGAATCCAGTCTGACAAAAAGTCTAACCCCATATATTTCAGCAAAACACCTTCTTATTAAAAACCAATTGCTTTTATCTAAAGAATTCAAAGTAAGTTGGCATTTCAACTCTGTCTTGTGACCTTTAATTTCTAGAGAAACAACACTGCAGCACCCTGTTTCAGCTGTCTGGGGCAGAAAGATGTCCTTTCAAGCAGAATTACACCCATCTAGGGTAGCTACCTGCATGGACTTCCCAACAGCCTGGCCTCTCCTCATTGTCCAGTGCTGCTCTCCGTGCCGGCAGCCCCGTCCGCACCGCTTACTGCCATGGTAAGGTGAGATGCACCGACAACGCCAGCCTGAGTTCCTGTGTCAGGAAGTGCTCTGCTCAGGCCTGACAAGGGAACCTGCTTTTCCTGAGTAATGAGACGGAGAGGAGTCCCACACAGGATATGGCTGTGTTCTGTCAGACTTTATTGCAGCGTACATCTTGGCCTAAACATAATCTACATCTTCAGCTGTCTCTGCTGCTGCATATTTGGTCTCTGCATATCCTCTCTCGCCAGGCTGGGTTGTTAGTGCTGGATAAAACGGTGCCAGGTCCAACACCACACACGTTCATTACACCGTAAACACTGCTAGAGGAGCTATGTCTGAACTCTCCGCTTACGTGATAAACACAGGCACACACACTACAGCCAGCTATGCACGTGCACTGAGCAGACACAACCAACCTCTGCCTTCTACCCATCCTCTCATTAGATGTGCCATGCTAGGGGATGATGTAGATGCCCCAGAGAGCATGTCTAGATATCCCACCTAGTTTAGAATATCCTGTATTTTATTGTTAAATCCCACAGTCCTATAAAAGCAATTGCAATTCTGCTTTTTCCACACCCAGGGGTAACCAGTGTCTTTTCTAGACCCAGCCACGTGAAGTGGGCATCTTACATGAATGAACAGATGTCACAGCAGTTCTGACAAAAGGTACAGACAGCTCCCCGGTGCTGTCTGTATAGATCAGCTCTGGAAGTGTGGACAGAAAGGGAAAGGTCTTTGGCACAGGGGTTGCGTTGTACACAGAACACCCATGTCTGGTCACGCCATGTGAGAGTTGCACTGCAGCTCCCCTGGCTGGGGTTTCCTCTTCGCCCTTACGAAAGCAGCCCCCCAGGCTCCTTCAGAATTAGCAGCTCTCCCTTTCCATCTCCTACGGCCCACTATGATCACGTCTTCCTGGGCCTAGGGCAGGGACACCGAACAACAGTCTCTGCCGAGATGCTGCTCTGCTGTGGCAACCCCAGACTCTGTCAGCGTAATGTGGAAACAGATCCACCCTGCCGTTTTTCTCTTGCCACTGGATACCCCTTATCACACGGCTGGAGAAGCCAACGTTTTGTTAAGGAGAGCAAAGGTTAACGCACACCAGATGGATTTCTGTGGAAGCTGGAGAAGCGTTCAGCCGAAAACACGTCAGGCCGGAAGTTTGGGGAAGAACAGAGAGAGATTTCTTAGCATTTATACAGGAAAAAAACCCTGGTCTGAGTAACCCACTGCAAGTCCTACTGCCCCTTTCAAGGTCTCCGGAGCCGTCGTGTCCCATGGACCACCACGTCTGTTGTACGCAACACGCTGGGCTGTGGGCAGCCTGAGGATCTGCACGTGTGTGACACGCCGTGGAGATGTGCAGAGCCCTGGCCTGGGGCACTGTACCCAGGCACCGCGCTCACACGCGCAGTTTCAGCCTTACAGAAAGAGCAGTGGGAACCACATGCTTGTGTTCAGCAACGATGAGATTTTTAGGGAGAGCGAGCCATTATACTGTCAAGAAAGCGGTGAACTCAGGGTGGCCAGAGCCCCACTTGATCACCTTCCATGCTTCTGCTGTCACACCAAACAGACTTCCTTCCCTCCTAGCCAAGAACTCCTACGCCCCCACCTTTCAATAGCCATTCGCATCCCAACCGC